TCTTTCATGGAGCTTGGCTCGTTCAGCGCGTCGTTTTTTTCGAGCTAAATGCCGTTGATGCAAACGTTGTCGAAGTTTTATACGTTTTTGTTGAAAAAAAGAAAGCATCCGATTGGTGGGTTCTTGTTCATCGTTCAAAACCTGTTTTTTTAACAGGTATGCTTGCCCCATTAAAACCGGTTGATACACTTCGACTTGTCGACAAAAATGAACTTTCTTCTTGGAGTTATTCATCTTAAAAAGGTACGTTGAAACAGAGCTCTCATTTTTTTTTTCCCTGTTTCGGTGAAATTACGTGATCCAACAATGCCTGCTTTATGGTTTAAAGTGAGTTTGCAGCCACTTTTCAAGGGTTGGAACTGAAAAATCTTCACATAAGACCCTTTTTCCAGATGAAAGTAGATAAACTCGTACCACTGGTTTTCGGACAAGTCAAACAGGTAGATTTTTTTACCCATATCCACTGCTATTTGAACGGTCCAACCCGTTCCTCCTTGAACTTTGGTCTTGTTGGATTCCAAGTATCCAAAAGCATACAAGGCATAAGAGTCTTTAGCGATAAAATAGTTACGAATTAACAATTCGTCAAAATAGCCCCCTGTTCCTACTTCAACATTCCTTTGCAACACTTTCTTGGCTTGTCTAACAGCACGTTGAGCATTCAAAAGATCCGCATACACTGGTACAATGGGGCTGATACATTTAGCTCTAGGATGATTAGGTCCTATCATAATAATCACTTTACATTCATACGCTAAAGCCAATCGTTCAGCATAAGCATCGGCTCCTTGGGCTCCTCCCGTCACAATGGTGTATTTTTCCCCTTCTGGTATTTCCATCGGTTCTTCTTCTTCTTCTTTTTCTTCAAACTCGCCTTTTTTTTCCAGAAAATTTTTGAAATGTCGCCAGGTTCTGGAAGGATCTAGAGGAGAAGTAGAATTGGTGGCCATGGTTAAAATGAAGCACTGAATAGTGATCGCTACTAATATACTCGTTTTCTGAAACATGTTGAACCGGTAAAACAAGTTAAAACCAGTTGAACAAGATAAAACAAGTTGTACTGCTGACGACTTGCCCAAAAATGATTGGTTCTTGAATGTGATCTCACTACTTATATAGTCTCGACCGAACTCGTCAATGTCATCAGTTGCATCATGCAATCACCCACCACTGTGGAGGCTCCAGCCGTGAAACGAAAATATGTCAAGAAAGATAAAGCAGAAAAAAAGTCCAAAAAACAAGACAAAAAACCCAAATGGGAAACAGATTCTCCTGCGTTGATCACTGATCCACTCAAAGAAACACCTGAACCTATGGTGGTAGAAAGAAATTATGTAATAAAAGATGGACAATGGGTCGAAGAAGAAGAACGAGAGCTCGAAAAAGATCAAGCCATTCAGTCTTTGTTAGCTGAAGTGGATATGATTCCTCAAGTTGGAAGTCCCCCCGGACCACAAAATCGGAGTCCCCCTCGAGCTCCTGCAGCAGTGGTGGATTTGTTAACATGTCCCCTCCACTTGAAACCACTCTTACGCAAGGAGCCACCCGGTGAGGAAGAAAAACAAGAACTATTGTTTTGTCCTGAACTCGATTGCCCCGTGTTCCTATTTGCCAATAACATGGAGGCTTATCTACGAGCATTGCATTACACACCACCCAGTCAAGATGTAATTGAATGTTGGGACATTCTACAGTGTTTTTGTCATTTCAGTCCTATCCTGAAACTGAGTCAATCCGAAGCCAACCCCAATCGCTTGTACTTGAGCTGCAACAATTGGAACAAAGAGCTGAAATGTCCTTACTTTCAGTGGTTTGATCTACCCTTTAGCCACAAGAATGCTGCTTGGCAAGATGAAATGCGATTTGAATTCAAGCACTTACCCGTACCAGCGAGTCGAGAGGAAGCCAAACAAAAGGAAAAAGAAACCAGGGAAGCTTGCAAAAAGAGGGCCTTTGTGGAGTATTTTACCAACTTGAAAGCAGAGCAGGAGGAAAAACGGAAAAATCTGATGAAAACCAGTGGCTGGGGGGCTCCACGCGAAGACGGCGCGCGCGGCGGCGGCGGCGGCGGCGGCGGTCCGCGCGACGGCGGCGGTGGCGGACGCAAAAGTCCTTTTGTCTACTACACAAGAGCAGTACCAAACAACTCGTTCACTGCCTTTAAACATGGAGTCAATTTTTGATGAGAACTCACAACACACAAAAAAAAATGTATATAATTAGTTGTCATTAAAGTTCCTTTTTAAAAAAAAAGAAAAAAAAATGTGGTCTTATTTGCGTTGGCGTTTGATTCGTTTTCTTTGTGCTCGTATATATTTAAAATATATCGAGCAACCTATTTTGCAAGAATGGGATGATCCCGTGAAAACCTTTAAAGAGACGCGTGTCCATGGGGATTGGGGGAGATTTGTCGCGTTTGTTGTATGGTTAAAACAGTTCCCGTTGGCAGCCGAGTGGTATTTTTGCATTGAACATCAATTTCGATCACAAGTACCCTCGTGGTTAGAGTTGTTGAGTCATTGGATAAAATGAGTAAAAAAGATTTGGTGAGTTTGTACAACAATCCCAATGTTGATGGAAGTCTGGGGGGTGTGGCACGATTTGCCAAAGCGCAAGGGATTCCTGTTCAAGAAGCCAAACGAATCTTATCCAAAGATTTGAGTTATACCCTCCATCGTCCAAGACGAAAACGATTTCCCAAAGCTCGAGTGATGGTGTATGGGATCGATCATCAATGGGTAGCAGATCTCATTGATGTGCAATCGTTGAGTCGAAACAATAAGGGGTACAAGTATCTCTTGACAGTGGTGGATGCGTTATCGAAATTTCTCTGGGTGGTTCCTTTAAAAAATAAGACAGGAACCGAATTAGTCCGAGCTTTTCAAGTCATCTTGGCCAAAGGACGAAAACCCATTCAACTACAAACGGATCAAGGGAAAGAATTTTACAACAAGACCTTCGAGGCATTTCTCAAGGAGAAAAAAATTCATCTCTTTTCCACATATGGAGACGATAAAGCAGCCATGGCTGAACGAGTCAATCGAACCATCAAAGAACGGATTTATCGTTATCTCACCTCCGCCAACACCTTGCGCTACGAAAATGTCTTACAAGCGATTGTCCGTGGTTACAATCGAAGTAAACATCGAAGTATTGGTATGGCCCCTAAAGATGTGACATTTGCCAATGAAAAAACAGTCTGGAATCGTTTGTATGGTAAAACCAATCGAACGATTCGACCGCAATTTCAACGTGGCGATAGAGTTCGATTGAATGAAAAACATCGAGTGTTTAAAAAAGGATACTTGCCAGGATGGACTCAAGAAGTCTTTTTAGTGGATTTAGTCAACAAGACCGCTGTACCCACTTATCGCATCAAAGAATGGGACGGAACAGTGATTCGCGGTACTTTTTACAATGAAGATCTTCAAAAAGTCACCATTCCCGATGATCACGTGTTTCGTATCGATAAAGTGGTTAAACGTAAAAAGAATCAAGTCTTAGTGCGGTGGAAGGGTTGGCCCTCGAAATACGATACTTGGATGAGTAAAAAAGATATAAAGGCTTTGCGCAAAAGACAATCCACTCCATTGTTACAATCACAGAGTAAATAGAACATGGTGCGACCCAACACAAGAAGTCTTAAACTCATGCAACCTCAAGTGAGGTTGCAAGATATTCGAAAACCCACTATCAACAAAAGCAGACGAAGAAGAAAAAGCGCAGTATCCAGAAGTATAAAATCACTCATCAAGGCCGTTCCAGATGCCAAAACACCTGTGATTGTCTTTCCCAACGTCTCCAGTTTCAGAAGCGTCGCCAGGAGACTTCCGGGTAGTAAAAGAAAAATCACCAAAGCGTTTTTACAAAGAGGAGGGAGATTGGTCCAGATAGAACCCTAGACAGATGGAGGATTCCTTTTACGTCACTCTTACGAGTGAACCCGATAATGAATTTCCGAACAATACCACGACTCATTTTCAAAAAAGAATTGCCAATACCATTGAACTCAAGGATGGTCCATGGATGGTGGGTATGTCGTCTTTATTTCTACCCGATGCAAGTCATTTGGAACAAAGTTTGGATGGTATTCCAAGTAATACACCTCTCATCCACTTCGTCTGGAATGAATTTAATACTCCACAGGGACAAGCAGTCGGTCAAGAATTTACACGAACATTTGATTTTACCAAATCACTATTAGGACGAGCAAAGACGAGCACCGAATTGCTCCATGCCATCATCACAGGTTACACCCACTCCCTATTGTCACAGAAAAAAGACAACAACTCCATATTTTCCAGATCTAATTCACAGTATCCTTCCTTAACTCGTACTTCCTTCAAATTTGATTGGCTGAGCAATGGTAACTTATTCTTGGACAACACCCACACCAATCTAGGATCATTTTCACCTCATCTGTACATAAGCAAAATATTTGCCATCAAAATGGGATGGCTCACGGAAAAGATAGATGGAGATCAACATGTGTACTCACTTGGACCTAATCTTACTCCAACGTATTTAAAAAACGCAGATGGGAACGATCGGTATGCTTGGGATCTTCACAGCGAATGGATTGACAAAGGTTGGGGATCACGTCCAAGAGATTCTTATTGGGGAATTGCGCATAACAATAAAATGTATTTAAGCATCGCTGCCAATTGGACCTTTGTCATTCATACGGATCCGTCGCAACATGGTTCTCAATACGTTCAGATTCGATCCAATTTAATTCAAAGCAGTATCTTCAACGACACACTAGTAAACGTATTGGCGGAAGTTGTCCATAAAAGACAACAAAGTGGTACCTATCGGATTGAACCCAACACCATTCGTTACATTCCCGTCCGTCAACCCGTGATCGAAAGCATTGAGATTGAACTATATAATCTTTTGGGTGAAGAACTTCAATTACGCGGCTCACAAACCACTATCACCCTTCATTTTAAACGAGCATGAGTTTCTTCATCACTCTACCCAGTTTTCCTCGTCCATCCTTTGAACACAATACCCCCGGAAGTTTCAAGGTGCGTTTACCCAATCGACTCGCATTGGAAGGATCTGGATGGAAAGTGGGTCTGGCCAGTATTACGATCCCCAACATGTGTTTTTTACACCAATTGGAAAAGGATGGAATCAGCGAAGACAGCTGGCTCATGGCCATTGTAAATAAAACAGGTAAACATGGAAGTAACTACAAGTTGAAACGAGCTTTTGTTACCCTGGGTGATATGAAAGTCCATAAGCATTCTTTTAAAAGTGGAGTTGATTTTTTTACAATGATGAGTTATGTCCTCCAAGAACGACGATATAATGAACTCGATGCTGGTTACAGAGTGGAACCTGAAGATTGGGCACCATTCAAATTCAGTCAAGAAGGAGATGATTACCAACTACATCTGGGACAAGATGGAAATGAGTCATCAAATTCTCTCATCATTAACGTCGATAGTCGTCTCGCCAAATTGATGATGTGGACTACTTATGACAAAGATGGAAATATTACCCGATTTCTCAATCATCATCTCATTCCTCATTTGAGGAACAATACAAGAAAAGATACAACGGAATTAACTGGCAATGTCTTGTTCAAATATGATCCGACTTCGAAGTCTATTCAACTGAGTAGAACAGCACAATGGCGATTTACCCATTTAAATCGCATTTTTGATAAAGTCACCAAACGACACAAACGAACACTTTACGTCTACTCCAACGTGGGGGCAAGCACTATCGTGGGGGATCAAGTCGTGTCCTTGTTGCGAGAAGTCGATTATGATCCTCGTCAAGGTCAAAATGATCATTTTCACTTTGAACCCCATATGATCCAATATCACGATGTTCTCAGTTCAGATATGGATATCCTAGAAGTACAAATTACCGAAACCGATAATACCCTCTTGGATTTCGGACAAGGAGTGACCACCTTGGTCTTACACTTCAAAAGAGAATAAAAAGGCAAACCCTCTCTCTCATACCAAGAAAAAAAAGGACACCACTATGATAGGAGGAAGTCTGACGCGATACGATCCAAACCGAGGTCAACGTTCCACAGGAAGTGGACGTCCTGCTAATCAAACAGGCGGATTATCCATAAAAGGGCTCGATACCGTACGAATGATTCAATCACTTCCAGCAGACTTGAAACGACTTCCAGCTAACTTGAAAAGAAAAGCATCTTCCTTGGTCAATCGTCTTCCCATCAAAAAAAAGAAACGCATCATTCGCGATATTTTTGCATAATGGTCAGACAATGGAGCCCTCCATACAATCGACCTAAAATACTACGCGCCTTAAAACGTTATGGACAACGAGGAGGAGGTGTCATCTCTGTTCGACGCAGACGCGTGGGCGGAACCATCTTTGGTCCCAAAGGCGAATATACTCCCCACATACCAAACTGGTATAAAAGAAAACTTGCAGCACGGCGTCGACGCAGAACACGATGAACTCCGACCTTTACAAAGCGCATCATTACTCCAAAGAGGGGGTCAACCCCGTTTTAAACATTTTCAAAGTTCCACGAACAGACATCAGTATCAATGATTGTCGATTTTCCACATTTAGCCCAGTGGGCAAAAGTATCACCCCTATTCAGTTTGATCTTCCAGCCATGCAAGAATTTGTGGATCTCTCCAGGAGTTACTTCACCGTGCGACTCAAACTGGCCATGTCCGATGGTGCCCCTATCAAAACAGCCGATGATCTCTTTTTGGTCAACAACCTACCTCACAGTATGATCAAACAATTTGGAGTACGACTCAATGGTACTCTGATCAACCCCCACACAGACACGTATCCTTACAAAGCCATGATTGAGACCATCTTGAACTATGACAGAGAAGATGGTAAAACGATCCTACGTCCTCAAGGGTGGGTCAATGCCTTGGATCTGCCCAAAGCATGGGTCAAAACAGCTTCAGGCAACATGGACATTAAAGATTCAAGTTGGAGCGATAATCAAAAAGCTGGTTTTAAGTTACTGAAGGCGGAGTCCAGCAGGTACTTCAATGATAGTAACAGCTCGTTACTAGAACTTCGTCTGAAGATCAGACCCCATGTGGAACCTTTTTGGTTTCCCTATGTGTTGAAACCAGGGGTACAAATGCAGTTTGAAGTGCATTTTCATGATCCTAAATTCTGGACCATGGTAGCTGATGATAATACCAAAAAGATAAGGTTCACCGAGGATGATGTTGACATGCGATTTCATCTAGCTCGACTGAAGCTCAATGATTCTATCTACAATGATCTAATGTTGAAGACTCAAAACAATGCTCAAAAAGCAGTGTATCCAGTCGTACGAAGTGAATTGAGAACCTTCATCTGGAACTCAAAGAACCAGCTAAGGTTTGAGGAAGAAGATATCTTCAATGGAAAGGTCCCGCAGAGGGTGGTTTTAGCCATTGTGGATAGCAAATCCTTCAATGGAACCAAAAATTACTACCCCTTCTCATTCCTCAAGGCCAAGATCAAGTACATCAGACAACTCATTAAAGGAGAAGAATACCCTTATGAAACACTGGAACTCACTCAAGATGATCGATATGACTATGATGGCTATTATCGATTCCTACAAGCCAGTGGAGCATTGATCAAAAGTCAGCCAAACATGCTGAGAGAGGAGGACTGGGGAGAAGACAGAAACTGTAACTTGTTCATGTGGAACAATGTAGGCAGTGGTAATGCGGACACAGGCATGATGAATCCCAATAAAAAGGGCAACGTACGAATTGAAATCGAAGCACATTCAGCTCCTGGCTTTATCAGTACAGTGCTGGTCTATGGTGAATTTGAAAATCTGGTGACCATTGATAGCATGAACGACGTCGAGTACAACATCTACCAGTGAAAACATGGAAGAAGTAGCACTCAGTGATCAACAATTAACGTATTTGGCTCAACAAGATCCTGTACTCAAGTCCTATTTTCAAGGTGTCTTCGCCTCGGATCAATTACCCCATTCGCCTTCCAAACGAACAGCCGCTTACATCGTCAACACTGATCCGCACGATAAACCTGGGCGTCATTGGATAGCCTTTTGGACAGACCAGGGAATCTGCGAAATCATGGACAGTTATGGCCTGCCTTTGCAGTACTATCAAGCCACACCGCTCGAGAAGTGGACCAAAAAATGGAAATACATTGTGTCCAATGGACGAGCTTTACAAAGTCTTACAAGCAAAGCATGCGGACATTATTGTTTATTTTATTTAAAAGCCAAATCCAAAGGCTATTCCATGCAAGATTTTTTAAACTACTTTTCAGAAAAAGATTATGTTGCCAATGATCATCAAGTGGGTAAAATGTTAGCCAAACTAATCACTAATCCAAAAACATGGCGCGAAGCAAGTCATCGTCCCATGTCGCAAACATGTACTTCTTGTCAATAAAAGGACTTGTTAAACCTTTTTTTCCAGTCTGTATTCTTTTTTCTACATCATGTTTGTTCTACCCAAAAGCTATCAACTCTATACCCCTGCGGGACACATGGTAGTGGGACCCTCTGGATGTGGAAAAACCAACTTAATCGAAAATCTGTTATGCTACAACCTAGACCTCTTCAAGGACAAACCCCATGCTATTCATTATTGTTATGGAGCATGGCAACCCGCCTACGATCGTATGAAACAACATGGTATACGTTTTCATCAAGGGGTTCCTCAAGAACAACACATTTCATCTTGGTTTCCTAAAGGTGGTATTCTAATCTTGGACGATCTCATGGATGAATGCGGAAACGATAAAAATATCTTGGATATTTTCACCAAATATTCTCATCACAAAAATGTCAGCGTCATTTATCTTCTACAAGATATTTTCCCCATTGGAAAGTATTCCAAAACCATCTCCAGAAATGTTCATTATGTCTGGGCTTTCAAAAACCCAAGGGATCAAGTGGGTATTCGAAATTTATTACTGCAAGCCTTTCCTACCAACTGGTCCACTGTATTGGACACGTTTCAAAAAGTCACAGAACAACCCCATGCTTATCTTTTATTGGATTTTCATCCCACCAGTCCCGACACCCAACGCGTCCTCAGCAATGTCTTAAAAGATCAGGGTATCACCAATTGTTGGCAGTTTGATCCCCATCATGTCGCGGGACGAAAAAGACGTAAGGGTTTGTCGAAACCTAGCCAAAAACGAAGCAAGATACAGACTGAAGGAGAGACTTCTGGAACAAATGATCCTATCCGTGGATGATTTAGATGACTTCCATGAATCTTTCATGATGAAACTCGAACACGATCGTTTTCACAATATTCTCTTCCCATCCGATGTTCAAGAAATCAAACACGCCATCGAACAGAGAAAGCAACAATGGCAACACGTAGAACAAGTATTTTACAATTATCTACAAGGTATGTCCCCTGATGACATGGACTACATTCCTTTCCAAGCAGTATATAATCACGTTCGAAACAGACAAAAACGACAAATTCAAACGGTCGTCCATCACTACAACGAAACTCATTTCAGTGACTTGATTGAACAGTTGTGGACTAAAGGATGGACTCAAGTCCCGAAGGACCCATAAGCTCGCCAGATGCTGCCACTCAATATGTACAAAATCTCACCGCTGCTGAAGAAGTGCAAGATCTAGGTTTCAATCCTGGTGATTTTGGAGGTTTATTTGAAGATGTCGCCAATATCCCCCCAGTGGATTCAGATATTCCACGCATTGGGGATCCACCCCCGCGACAAGTGGCTCCACCCATCACCACTGGAGTAGGTACAAGCAGTAGACAAAGACCCACTGTACCCCCTGATGATCTTGTTCAACAAGCCATGGATGAAGCTGATATTGATACAGCACCTCCCATCAGCACTGGACCAGGCACCACTACAAGGCAGCCGCCACCACCGAGACCGAGGAGACCAACTACCACTTCCTCTCGATCCAGAGCCAGAAGACCCTCACGAACAAGAAGGCGAGCACCCACTGCTACAACCACTACTGCCTCTAGGTCAGGTGCCAGAAGAAGACGCAATAGACAAGCCACTTCTACTACTACAAATACAACCGCCCCTGCTCGAGGACGTATGCAACAACAACTGCGTTTATTATTAGATGATATTGCCGCGGATAATCGAGAAATCAGTAACATTGTTACCACCAACACAGTCACCACTACTTACAAACAAAATAGACGACGTCCCACGGTCACCAATACAAGAACACGCGTGGGTAACAATCGTAGAAACAGACCCACTGTGTCAAGAACCTCTACAAGAGTCACACCATGAATCAAGTCTACGCACACCATCATCGTCAATGGTGGTGTCATCGACAAATGTTTTTTCGATTTAAACGCATCTACGCCCTTCTCAATATTCTCTCTCTCCTCATCACCTCTTTAGGACTCATCATTGGACCTGTTTTAGAAAATGTATTACTCACATCCATCTTAGCAGCTGTTGGAATGTTCATCAAAGGATGCAATGATTTTAAACGATACTCTATCAAAATGGACATGAGTAAATTTGCTTACTCCACTCATGCCAAAGCACTCTCGGAATTACGCGCTCTACAATCATCTCCAACGGATGAATTTCTACTCAAGCACCAAATTTTAGAAGAGGTCATTATTGATTTTGCCCCTCCTATTCCAGATCATATCCTACGCAACTATAAATGTCCCAACGATCAACTGGATGGAAAAAAACCATATAAAGAGAAATCGCAGGATACAACCGCCTCAAAACAACCATGCCAAGACGAAAACAATACGGAGGAATAGGTCTAGAAACCATCATACCCATGGCAGCCGAACTCGGCATGTCCATGGGACATAATCCAGACTATAAACGTCGAGGAGCCAAAGGCGCCACTGGGACTTATCGACCACCAAAATTTGACCGAAAAATCAAAGAACCTTGGTTGTACTTCAAAAGTGCCAAAGAATATCAAAATTATTTACGACAACATGGAGGCGGATGGGGACGTCTT